GAAGGAGAATGAGAAAGTACAAGAGAGAGAGAGAGAGAGAGAGAGAGAGAGAGAGAGAGAGAGAAAGAGAGAGAGAGAGAGCGCGAGAGAGAGGGAGAAGTCGATGTGAAAGACGTCAATGGCGCATTCTTTTATTAAACTTTTTTTCTTGTTGTTGTTGTTGTTATTGTTTGTCTTCTCTTCTTCTTCTTCTTCGTCTTCGTCTTTGTCGTCGTCGTCGTCGTCGTCGTCGTCGTCGTCGTCGTCGTCTTCTTCGTCTTCTTCCTTTTCGTCTTTTCCGCCATCGTGAGTGAACTCTCGCGTGCAACTAGATGACTCTCCTCCTCCTCCTCCTCCTCCACCTCCTCCTCCTTCTCCACCTCTTTATGGCACACACAGGTCACAATGTTTCTTCGTTACTCGCTTTCAGATCCTCAAGCGCTCGAGGCAGTCGTGCTCGGCCCCGGAGATAGAGCTGGACTGTCACGTGGCGCCATCTTCGGGATCATTTTCCCACTAATCGCGCTGCTGCTGCTTGCCTTCATCCTCACGGCTGTTGCCTTGCTGCAGTAAGTCCGCGTCTAATGTTCCAGGGCCGTAGGCTGAGCAAATTCCTAGGGGGGCAGTGGCGGATCCAGGATTTCAAGGAGGGGTGAGAAACAGGTGGGGGGGTCTGGGGGTCCTCCCACAGAAAATTGTAAAAATGTAGATAGCAGGAGATGGGATTTGAGGCACTTTTGAGTACATGTACAGCCTTCATTCTGACGACGACAATTCTCTTTTAGTAGAACAATTTATTTTTTTAAATTTTGCTCCAAAATCTAGTGGGGCAGCGCCCGTGCCCCTGTGTATATGTTCGCATACCGTGAGAGATGGCTCATCGTCGTTGTGTGTTTGTGTTCGCAGTCGCCGCAGGAAGGCGGGAGGGTCTAGTGAAGCCATCAATGAATCCCTGGTCAGCAGCATGTCCATCGACATCCCGCGTGCCAAGAGCGCGCTTGGCACCGTGCCAAAATCGCCGTTCAGCATCGACGCCGACACGTTCAAGTTCTGGCGCAGCGGAAGTCGGGTGAGCGGAAGTCGTCTGCGAGAGTCTTTTAAAGGGTTAATGCTCGTTTTATGTTTTGGGCTTGTATTCGATTGCAATTTACTGCAAGTGCGCACATGCAAACTCACGCACGCGCACGAACACATAAACCTACACACACGCGCACATGCGCACGCACGCACACGCGCGCACGCAAGCATGCACGCACGCGCTCGCGCGCACACAGACACTCACATTAATTTTGTTCATGGTGTATATCATGTGTATATATCGTCACCTACAGGGTCAGACGAGCGGAGGCAGCGAATTCTCTCGATCCGGAATGGCGGGCGGAGCATCCGACATGACCCGACCCAGCGCACAGAGGTCAGCCTCATCCGGATCCGGTAGCATGCTGCCCCCTGGCGGTCTCCCGTAAGTGCGCGACAGAATGTATAAATTAGTGAGAAACGATAGAGATACGTGGGTGTTATAATGGGTGTTTATTAATTAACATCATTTGATGACAAAAGCAAACTAGATCAGGTCAAACTAGATAAAACCAGATATGACTATAGATAAGACAAAATAACGCTAAATGAAACTAAATCAAATTAGTTAATACTAGATAAGACCAATTAAAACTAAATAAAACTAGGTAAGACTAGTCAAAACTACACGAGGTCATCATTTGACCCACGACTGATGTTTGGATATAGTATCTATATAACTTATTACCTATATAACATAGTATCTACACAACCGAGTATCTACATTACTTGGTATATCTATATGTAACCGCTGCTGTTACACACCGTGCGCTGCAGTTACATGGGCGGCGACCCGCGGACCATGACACCGAGCTCCATGGATACTGGCATGGGAGGAGGCATGGGAGGAGGCATGGGAGGTCTAGGAAGAGGTATGGGAGGCATGGGAGGAGGCAGCAAGCTGTACGAGTCCTCAGCACACGACAGGCACAGGTTCGAAGCTGCCGCCCTCCCGCGGACGGCGGAGGAATCATCGACGACATCAGGTTAGTGGCCGGGTAACTAACGCAGGAGAGATGGTAGTGCTAATGCTGTATTGTACATTGCGTTCAGTTTCTCACCAGCTGCTTCCACTATTAGTGACATATTAATCAGGAGTAGATAATAGGGAATCTATCCCTATTAGGGAATAATAGGGGATAATGGGGGGTAATAGGGGGTAATAGGGGGGATAGGGGATAATAGAGAATCTATCCCTATTATCTACTCCTGATATTAATGCGCCTGTAATCATTAGGGTGCGCGGTGGGGCTACGTATACATACGAGCACGACGTCCCATGCCATTACAATAACAACAATAACTTGCCAGGGAATTAGAAGTAAAGACAATTCGTCGCACAGCCTCGTCTGGCTAAAAGCGCCACTGGTTAATTATAACGCAATGTACAATATAACAATAACAATATGTTATCTCCCTGATTCATTCTATGATGATTTACCCGTGAATATGTTAAATCTGTTATTATCCATAGCATATGGTTACGTTCATTTTTCTACTGGTCACAATATTAAATGCATCGAATGAATAAATGA